CCACCTCACCCTGCACCTTCTCACCCTGCACCACCTCACCCTGCACAACCTCACCCTGCACATTCTCACTCTGTACTTCTCATCGTGCACCATCTCACCCTACACCACCTCATCCTGCACCACCTCACCCTGCACCTTCTCACCATACACCACCTCATCCCGCACCACCTCACCCTGCACTTTCTCACCCTGCACCATCTCACCTTGCACCTTCTCACTCTGCACCACCTCACCATGCACCTTCTCACGCTGCACCACTTCACTCTGCACCTTCTCACCCAGCACCTTCTCACCCTGCACCACCTCACCATGCACCTTCTCACCCTGCACCTACTCACCCTGCACCTTCTCACCCTGTACCACCTCACCCTGTACCACCTCACCCTGCACATTCTCACCCTGTACTTCTCACCCTGCACCCTCTCACCCTGCACCTTCTCACCCTGCACCATCTCACCCTGCACCATCTCACCTTGCACCTTCTCACCCTGCACTCTCTCACCCCGCACCACCTCACCCTGCATCACCTCACCCTGCACATTCTCACCCTGTACCCTCACCCCGCACCATCTCACCCCGCACCATCTCACCCCACACCTTCTCACCCCACACCTTCTCACCCCGCACCTTCTCACCCTGTACCCCTTACCCTGCACCTTCTCACCCTGCACCTTCTCACCCTGCACTACCTCACCCTGCACCTTCTCACCCCACACCACCTCACCATGCACCTTCTCACCCTGCACCTTCTCATCCTGCACCATCTCACCCTGCACCACCTCACCCTGCACATTCTCACCCTGTACTCCTCACCCTGCACCGTCTCACCCTGCACCTTAGTAAAATCGTGATATAAGCCATGACATGGTGGCCGTCCTTAATCAAGGTTGCTACCTGAAGAAGAAGAATGTATCAGAAAACAGCTGTCACGGAATAGAAAATATTTAATTTTGAGAACACAAGCATAAATATGCTGTCATCTGGTGAATATTATGGGAAATTAATGCACCATTTTAAACAAATAATATCCCTGGACAAAGGAATTTGAGTGGGCACAATAGTCAATTAGAATGATCAAATGCCATTTACTCTGAACCAATTCACTTTAACACACAGCTGATACTCTTCTAAGATACGCAACATTGATGAATTTCTGCCCCAGTATTTTCAGCACGTGTTGATGCACTCACAAATGGTTAGTCCTCCTATCATGCATTTCAGATTATGCTTTCTGAGTCACTTTGTTGTCTATGTGTTTATTTTACAGCTTGGCAAATATTGAGGACACCAATGTGGACGCAGTCTGCACTTTCGGAAATGACTCTAACCGTCAGGAAGTTAATAAAGTCACCGTATACCACACATTCAGAGACAACGCCAAGAGCATCTCCACCTTAGGAGCATATTCACTGGACAATAGTAGGCTCTATGTAAATGGTATGTAGTATTTCAAGGAGATACTCTGTCTGATACATTCTATTCGATCAACTTAAATGGGTTAATCTGATAAAATCAAGGATAACCTTCTATAATAATTTTTTCACCATGTATTTTTCATTGCAACACTTGGTTTTGATTTTACAGGCTACCACGAATCTGTTCCTTCTTCCAGTGAGTATGGTTTATATTTCCGTATTCCTTTAACTCTGCATTTTAACACAATGGATAACATAGACGAAATCAAAATGCTTGAATTGCCAAAAATTATCTGAGAGGCAGTAGCTACTGTTTAGAGTTTTCTCTCAATTATTTCATGGGGCTGTGCCATTGATGGCAAGGCTAACATTTGTTACTTATCCCTGATTGCCCCTGAAGGAAGTTAAGTGTCAATCATATTGCTGTTCGTCAACTACTTCAGTTAGTTTTATATTCCTAACTTTTTGGACTAAATTAAACTCCACCAGCTGCCGTGGTGACATTTGAGCATTTGTCTGAGTCTCTGGGATACTAGTCCAGTGATATTACTTTCATTTCACCATGTGACCATTTAGGGCAGCATGGTGGTTCAGTGGTTAGCACTGCTACCTCACAGCACCAGAGACCTAGGTTCAATCCCACCCTCAGGTGATTGTGTGGAGTTTGCGCATTCTCCCCATGTCTGCTTGGGTTTCTTCTGGGTGCTCTGGTTTCCTCCCACAGTCCAAAAATGTGTAGGCTAGGTAAATTGGCTATGCTAAATTGCCCATAGTGTTCAGAGATGTGTATATTAGGTGGGTTATAGGGGGATGCTCTGAGGGTTGGTGTGGACTTGTTGGGCCAAAGGCCCTGTTTTCCACACTGTAGGCATTCTATGATCTATGTCTATTGTTAACAGATGATCTTGTTTATAAGACAAAATAAACACCTCGAACTGAGAAATTTTTGAAGTTTCAGCCAGAGACTCTGTCTCTGCTGTGTTCATTCTAAAATTTTATGTGAGTTATATTGATGGGCTCATGCTGAAACAGAATAGAAACAGTATTTTGTGCATAGAATTGAACATGTAGCTCAATTTTAAAACAAGCACTGAACTCCAAATCAGAAGATAGTCAACAAAATCAGGACAATTTTCAGACTACAGATAAGCAAACTGCTTCAGGATCATCAAGCAATGTTTGTCCAGTAGTGTCGGTGATCACAAATATATGTCAGATGGTAACTCTGAATGTATCATATCCCCAAATATCCAAAACCCCTAACTCAAACTTGAAACAATCTGCATGTACACCTAGATTCTGGTGCATTTTGTGCTATTGTCTTTAAAACAAATGATACAGACACAGAAATGTTTTACTTATAATTCAACATTTTTCTCATGTTTCCTAATAGCCATATCACCAATTATGAGCACAACTCTAAACCTGCAAACAAAGCCCTTTGATTTCAATGTGACTTTCATTATTACTAACCTGATCCTGACTGCAACTCTACAATCATCCAGTTCTGCACTGTACAAATCTGCAGCAAATATTATTGTTTATCAGGTCAGTCCATAACATAATTATCTTAAAAAGTATATATTCTAATGAATTGAATTACAATTGCCTCTAAAACACTGATTATTACCTTCTTTCAGATGAACAACCTGTTTACCAACAGCAAAATCAACAGAACATTCTTAAGCTGCAAAGTTTGCTCTTTCAGGTAAGGAATATTGACAATAAAGCTTCACAGTAGTTATTGAAAGATTACTCTAGCATTTAGTAAATCATTTTGTCCTACAAAAATATTACAATGGTAATTTTTCCCAGTTATTCTACAGAGTTCTGATTGTGGATTTTGTAATGAGTGCATTAGCATGATTTAATTTTAATTTGTTTGTGGTAGCAAAATAATTCTATATTTCCTGAAACCATTTGTGTTGAAAGATTTAAATAGCCTATTAAAAAGGATAGATTTTCCTGAGCCAGGACCCAAAGCATCAACAGGTCATAAAATCCAAAATGTAACAGACATGAGGGAGATACTCCAATTTCTGCTGTATTTTTGTAAACACTCTCCAGAATATACATCTTTGCGCTCTACTGTTTCTGCAAGCTAAGGTAATGAAAGCTTTCACAGTGATCGGAGAAGATATTTATGGCCTCAAGCAACTTGCTGTTCTCTTGTTGAAAGCATTCAGACGTTGGAAGTGCTTAAATTACAGTATTAGAGTAGTAAATTGCACTGAGTCTTGATATTCCTCCTGAGCTGTAGATTCTTACTGATGAGGACACTTACTATTTCTTTGAAAAAAAATCACCATTCACAAGGAACCTCAGTGAGGCCAGTGTTATTCTTCATCCTGGGGTTGTGGCTTCCAGCTGTCAACTTGTATTTGTATTTGTCCCTGGCCAATTAACTTTGTTTAGTGTGGGTCCCGTAATAAGATCAACAGCACGAAGTTTGATTTTGTTCCAGCTAAGGCAGACTTCAGCACTGCCTCCTTGGCAGAGCCCAAATAGTTAGGTAGCCCTCGAATAATCAAGATGCTGTCTGAAGAAGAAGACACATGCAAAAGAAACTGGTTATCAGTTCTGAGGTTTGGTGAGATTTGATACTGGGAATGTTGAATATGCTACCTTGTTAATGCCATGGATGCATTATTTTAAGTAAGTGGACATATCTCCTACAAATGAATTTCAATGTACAAAATCATCAGTCAGCATGATTAAATCCCATTTAATTTGAACCGATTCCCTTTAACACACAAGAAATACATTTTAGATATACGACAATGAGGAATTTCTGCTTCAGGATTTTAAACCTTTGCTCAGGCACCCATGGAAAGTAATGGGCCCCTACTTGCACTTCAAGTTATGTTTTCTGATTAATTTTGTTGTCTATGTGTTTATTTTACAGCCTGGCAAATATTGAGGACACCAGTGTGGATGCAATTTGTTCTTTCAGAAATGACTCCAATCCTCAGGAAGTTAATAAAGTCACCGTATACCACACATTCAGAGACAATACAAAGAGCATCTCCATCTTAGGAGCATATTCACTGGACCATACCAGCCTCTATGTCAATGGTATTTTGCATTTAAAGGAGATATTCTGTCTTTTTTCATATTCCATTCTTTCAGTTTGAATGTGTGGATCTGATAAAATTGAGAATGATTATTTCAATTACATGAAATTTGTGTCATGCTTTAAAGGTGACTCTCCATCAATTTTACATAACAAAAAATGGTTTTGATTTTTCAGATTACCACGAATCTGTTCCTTCCTCCAGTGAGTATGGTTTATATTTCTCTGTTTCTTTAATATTTACTTTTGTTACAATGAGTAACATGGAGGACATTTTTATTTAAGCCCAGTTTCTATATTATTGCAAACATTAGGTGTACAGTATTTACTGTTTAAAGTCAATAAGTAATTCTACTTCTATAAAAGGTTTGCCCTTGGAATTGAGAATTTATGAAGTTTCGACTAGGGATCCTGCTTGTGCTATATCATCCTGTCTGCATACATGAACCATATTAACAAACTAAAGGGTGAGCAACAAGAACAGGACCAGCACTACTTAAAAATAGACTGTAACCCAAATTTAAAACAAATTAAAGATAATAAGAAGGTAGGAGGAGATGCAACGACGTCTGGACATTTCATACAGATAAGCAAACAATGCAGGATCACTAGTTCAGTAATTTTTCTCCACTTGGTCATATGATAGTAAATATTGCTAGGGTAAATGGTATCATCAAACGTCTAGAAGCCCTCACTCCAACTTGAAATATTCTGTGGTGGTTTCCATATTTTTAGTTTGCTTTGTTTTACTCTTTAAGACAAATGATATGGCCACAGAGATGTGATAATTTCAATTCAATGCTTTTCTCTTTATTCCTTATAGCAGTATCACCAACTGTGAGCACAACACCAAACCTGCAAACACAGCTTTTTGATTTCAATGTGACCTTCATTATTACTAACCTGGCCCTGACTGCAACATTACAATCTTCCAGTTCTGCACTGTATAAATCTGCAGCAAATATTATTGCTTATCAGGTCAGTTCACAACTTAATTATTAAAAATATCTACTTTAAGTAATTGTATTAGATTTGTCTCTAAAACTCTGATTATTACTTTCCTTTAGTTAAATAACCTGTTTACAAACAGCAAGATCAACAGAACATTCTCAAGATGTAGAGTTCGTTCTTTCAGGTAATGAATGTTAAACCACAGCAGTATTTGTTTCAAGATTGCTTTAACATGTAGTAAGTTCTTTCATGTTACATTTGTGTTAAAATGATATAATATTCCAGTTATTCTACAGAGTTCTGAAGATATGAACATTTAAATTAATAGAAGTCGCAGGCCATTTGTCACTGCGATTCTGTTTCGCTTTGATATGATCCAGGCTGAACTGATTGTGGCCTCACACTACTTTCCTCTTACCCTACATATGTCATTTGACTCACTTGTCAATATAGAATCAATTAGGAATCGATCTAACTCGGCTTCAACAGTATTCAATGATCCTAGCTCCACTGCTGTCTGGGAAACAGAATTCTGCAGATAAATGACCCGCTCAGAAAAATAAACTTCCTTTGATTTCCGTCTTAAATGGGAGAGCTCATATTTTTACATTGTGTCCCTCAGTTATGGTCTCGCTTGTAAGTCCAAACACCCTTTCAGCATCTAGCCTGTCACATATACCCAGATTCTTATTTGTTTCAATAAAATCACCTCAATTTACTGTAAATTCCAACTGGTGATGGTGTAAGCTTTTCTCATAAGATGTGTTGCTTTGATCATCAGATGATTAGCATTATTTATTTGTTCCTGTCAGATAGCTATGGATTCAATAAGCAAAGATTTTCCTATTTTTCACTAAACATTTTGAGTTGTGAGGGTTAAATGACTGAATAAAAAGATGATCGTTCCTGAGCCAAGATGCCACAGGATCAAAAAGCCACAGAATATTGCACAGGGTTAGACAATCTCAGGAATGTATGTCTTTGCTTTCTACGAGCTAAGGTAATGAAATTTTTCACAGTGGTCAAGTAGCATTAGCTGCTCCTGGAGCATTCTCTCTTATCATCGTAGAATACCCACACAGTGGAAAGAGGCTATTCGGCCCAACAAGTCCACACTAATCCTCTGAGGAGCACCCCACCCAGACCCATCCTCCTAACCCTGCATTTTCCCTAACCTACACATCCCTGAACTCTATGGATAATTTAGCATGGCCAATACACCTAACCTGCACACCTTTGGAGTGTGGAAGGAATCCAGAGCACTTGGCAGAAACCCACGCAGACACAGAGAGAATGTGCAAACTCCACACAGACAGTCGCTCAAGGCTATAATTGAACCTGGGTCTCTGACGCTGTGAGACAACAGTGCTAACCACTGAGCCAGAACTTGGTTGAGAGTATTTAGACTTTACAAGTGCTTAAATGACCATATTAAAGCAAACAGTCATTTTGGAGGACAGAACTCAAATATTGGTGAAAAAAAGACATTGTCAAAGATTTTCAGTCATTCAGACAATGCACAAGACAATAGCAAAAGGAAAACAACATGTATACTGCATGAGAGGAGAGTGCTGTGTGTCACAGAGTCATAGAGTCATACAGCTCAGAAACAGACCCTTCGGTCCAACCAGTCCATGCCGAACATAATTCCAAACTAAGCCAGTTTCACCGGCCAGCTCCTGGCCCATATCCCTCCAAATCTTGTCCAAAATGTACATAGCCAAATGTTTTTTAGACATTGTAATTGTACCCGCATCCACCACTTCCTTAGGAAGTTCATTCCACATGCGAACCACCCGCTGTGTAAAAGAAATTTGCCTCTTATGTCTTTTTTAAATCTCTCTCCACTCACCTTAAAAACGTGCCCCCTAGTCTTGAAATCCCCTATCCTAGGGAAACGACAACTACCGTTAACTCTATCTATACTTCTCATTATTTTATAAACTTCTATCAGGTGGCCTCTCAACCTATGCTCCGGTGGAAAAATATCCTAGCCTATCGAGCCTTTCTTTATAACTCAAACCTTCCTTACCCAGCAACATCCTGGTAAACCTCTTCTGAACCCTCTCCAGTTTGATACTAACCTTCCTATAACTGGGCAACCAGAACTGGACACTGTATTCCAGAAGAGGCCTCACCAATATCCTATACAACCTCAACATAACGTCCCAACTCCCATACTCAAAGGACTGAGCAATGAAGCCAAGCGTGCTATATGCCTTTTTAAACACCCTGTCTATATGTGATGTAAACTTCAAAGAATTATATACCTGCACTCCTCGGTCCCTCTGTTCTACAACATTACACAAGGCCCGAACATTAATTGTATAAGCCCTACCCTTGTTTGTTGTACCAAAATGTAATACCTCACATTTATCCAGATTGAACTCCATCTGCCATTTTTCATCCCATTGACCCATTTGATCAATATCCCCTTTTAATCTTAGGAAACCTTTTTCACTGTCTACAATGCCACCAATTTTGGTGTTGTCTGCAAACTTACTAACCATGCCTTCTATATTCTCATCCAAATCATTTATATAAATGGTAAACAAAAGAGGACCCAGAACTGATTCCTATGGAACACCACTGGTCACAGGCCTCCAGTCCGAAAAGCAACCCTCTGCTATTACTCTGTCTCCTGCCATTAAGTCAATGATGTATCCAATTGGCAAGGTCACCCTGAATTCCATGTGACCTAACTTTACTAATGAGTCTACCATGCAGAACTTATCAAAGGCTTTACTAAAATTCAAATAAACAACATCTACTGCTCTGCCATCATCAACCTTTTTGGTAACTTTCTCTTTCTCTAATGGTACAACATTAGCCACCCTCTAGTCATCAGGCACCTCACCCATAGTTATAGATGATGCAAATATTTCTGCAAGGGCTCTCGTAATTTCCTCCCTTAATTCCCACAACATGCTGGGATACATTAGATCGGAGATTTATCCACCTTTATATTCTCTAAGACCTTCTGAACTTCCTCTTCTGTAATGTGAACTGTTTTTAAAACATCAAAGTTTATTTCTCTGCATTCTCTAGACTCCATTTCTTCCTCCACAGTAAAAACTGACATGAAGTATTAATTTATTATCTCTCCCATCTCCTGGGCCTCAACACAAAGGAGGTCTCCTTGATCTTTAAGAGGCCCTACCCTCTCTCTAGTTCCTCTCTTGTTTTTAATGTATTTGTAGACTCTGTTTGGATTATCCTTAACCTTATCTGCCAATGCATCAATACCCAGTTATCAGCTCCACGAGCTGAATAAATTTAGTTCAGTCAACATAAGCAAATATGTGCTGTTGCATTGTGAATTGAATGGGAAATTAATCACTATTTTAAAGAAATTGTAATATCCCTGTACAAATGGAATCTCAATGTGCTTGATTATCAATGAGCATGAATTAACTCCCATTTATTTTAAACCTATCCACTGTAACACCAAGATCTACACTTTAGATAAATAACATTGAGGAATTTCTGCTCCAGAATATTGCTGAGGCCCTTTGATAGCTTTTAGACCTTACTTGCACTCGAGGTTATATTTTCTGATTAATTTTGTTGTCTGTGTTTATTTTACAGCCTGGCAAATATTGAGGACACCAGTGTGGACGCTGTCTGTTCTTTCAGAAATGACTCTAATCCTCAGGAAGTTAATAAAGTCACCATATACCATACATTCAGAGACAATACAAACAGATTCTCCACCTTAGGAGCATATTCACTGGACCATACCAGCCTCTATGTCAATGGTATTTAGCATTTAAAGGAGCTATTCTGTCTTTTTTATATTCCATTCTTTCAGCTTGAAGGTGTGGATCTGATAAAATTGAGAATGATTAATCCATTTACATGAACCTTTTTTCACTTTTTAAAGATATCTCTCCATTAGACCTATATAACAGAAAATACATGATTTTGATTTTTCAGATTACCACGAATCTGTTCCTTCCTCCAGTGAGTATTGTTTATATTTCTGTTTCTTTAATATTGCCTTTCATCATAATAGGTAACACAGAGGATATTTTCATTTGAGCCCAGTTTATATATTGTTGCAAATATTCTTCTAAAAAAAATATTATGAACCTTGGAATTGAGGATTAATTAAGATTCAACTGGAGATCCTGTGTGTGCTGTATCACCCTGTCTACATACATGAACCATAATAATACACTTATACTCTTGCAGTGAGCAACAAGAACAGGACCGGCAATGCTTTCAAATAGAGCTGTAACCCAAATTTAAAACAAATTTAAGATAATAAGAAGATAAGAGACTAAGCAACAAACAGACAATTTTCTACAGATAAGCAAACAATTGCAGAATCACTAGTTCAGTAATTTTTCTCCATGTGATAGCAAATATTACTAGCGAATTTTGGGTGAAGGTTATCATCGAACATCTAGAAGCCCTCACTCCAACTTGAAATATCCTGTGGTGGCTTCCAAACTTTTGGTTTGTTTTGTTTCAGTCTGTAAGACAAATGATGTAGTCACAGAGATGTTTTATTTTCAATTCAATGCTTTTCTTTTGCTTCATGACAGCAGTATCACCAACTGTGAGCACAACACCAAACCTGCAAACACAGCCTTTCGATTTCAATGTGACCTTCATTATTACTAACCTGGCCCTGACTGCAACACTACAATCTTCCAGTTCTGCACTGTACAAATCTGCAGCAAATATTATTGCTTATCAGGTCAGTTTACAACTTAGTTATTAAAACTAATTGTAATTGTATTAAATTTATCTCTAAAACTCTGATTATTACTTTCCTTTAGCTAAATAACCTGTTTACAAACAGCAAGATCAACAGAACATTCTCAAGCTGTAGAGTTCGTTCTTTCAGGTGTTGAATGTTAAACCTCAGTGAAATTTATTTTAAGATTGCTTTAACATTTAGTAAGTTCTTTCATGTCACTTATGTGTTAAAATGATATAATATTCCAGTTATTCTACAGAGTTCTGAAGATGTGAACATATAAATTAATAGCAGTCATAGAATAGGATGGGAAATTAATCACTATTTTAAAGAAATAGTAATATCCTTGTACAAATGGAATCTCAACGTGCTTGGTCATCCATAAGCATTAATTAAATCTCATTCATTTTAAACACTGCAACACATGGGCATACATTTTCAATAAACAACATTGGGGAATTTGTGCCTCAGTATTTTGCTCAGAAGGCGATGAAAGTTTACAGACCTCACTTGCACTTCAGGTTATGTTTTCTGATTAATTTTGTTGTCTATGTGTTTATTTTACAGCCTGGCAAATATTGAGGACACCAGCGTGGATGCAGTCTGTTCTTTCAGAAATGACTCCAATCCTCAGGAAGTTAATAAAGTCACCGTATACCACACATTCAGAGACAATACAAACAGATTCTCCACCTTAGGAGCATATTCACTGGACCATACCAGCCTCTATGTCAATGGTATTTAGCATTTAGAGGAGACATTAATTGTTTTACATTCCATTCTTTGAGCTTCATTGTGTGAATCTGATAAAATTGAGCATGTTTCATCCAAATTCATGAATTTTATTTCACTCTCAGGAAATCTTTCCATTAGATGTATGTAACAGAAAACACATGATTTTGATTTTTCAGATTACCACAAATCTGTTCCTTCCTCCAGTGAGTATGGTTTATATTTCTGTTTCTTTACTATTTCCTTTTATTACAGTGGGTAACACAATGGAGATTCCCAGCTTAAACTTAGCTTATATTCTGTCCAAAATATTTGAGAGACCATGTTTACTGTTTAAGGCCAAAATGTGTTTAGAGTTTCCTATTTCAGTAAACTGTTTAGGTATACTCTTGGTATTCAGAATTCTTGGAAATCTCTACTGGAAAACCTATGTGTGCTCTTCCATACTTTGTACTTATGTCAGCCATATTAATAAACTGATACTACAGCTGTGAGCAACTAGAGCAGAAGCAGAATTTTTTACTTTGAATTAGACCTCTCGGCTAAATTTAACAGAAGCCTGAGATTCCAAGTTGGCAAATACTGTAAATGTGAAATAAAAACAATCTTCTGAAAATACTCTGCAGGTCAGATGGCATTTGTAGGGAGAGAGTCAGAGTTATAAATGTAATTACTGTTAAGAAAATGCAAAAACATTGAAAGGCAGGAGGGGGGAAAAATAAAAGACAAGGTCTGTGATAAATTGGAAAGCAGGAGAGATTAAATGACAAAAAAGGAGTGTTACTGCAAGGCAAACAGAAATAGTAATTAAATAAGTGAAGAACCAAAAATGGTCCAGAGGATTTGTGACTGCGAAAAGCAAAGTTGCCATTAACAGCGGATATGAAAAACATCAATTTCTGCATGTTGATAATTATATCCAAACTGCGTCACCACCACCTGTTTCAATTCCTCCACTAAATTTGATTTGTCACATTGCTTGTCCAACATTTCATATTAGATTAGCAGAAATCTTCCCCAGTTAAATATTGGGGTCACCAAAGTAATTGATATTGGTCATTTTCTCAAACAGTGTTCCCCATAGTCTTCAACACTATCTATCTTCCTGGCTATTGTCTATGGCTGAAATAGATCCTTCACCATCTTGGTCTTGGATCTGATCCCAGGATGAAATTTGAACTCTGTTGCTTCTCCATCATCAAAGCTCTCCACTTGCGTTTCTATGACATCATTTCACTGTCCATTACCTCAGTTCATTTGTTGTTGAAGCCCTCAACTCTGCCTCGTTACTTTTCAACTTGTCTATGGGTCGTGATCTCCTATCTGGCTTTGCACCTCACACCCTTTAAAACTTTGCTGCTTGCATCCTAACTCAGGTTAACCTGTTTGTCTATCATCCTCCCACTTGTTGACTGTTATGATCTGACAATATCTCAGTTTTAAAGCTCTCATTCTCAAATCCCTCCTGTCTACCTTTAAAATTACCTTCAGCCCGTTGATATTTGATGAATAAACATCAGAATGCTACTTGTACTTGAGTTCTTGATAGTGTAATTAATGTGCAAACATTTGTTCGAGAAAGCTGACATTGTGGTATTATATTCCCTTGCCCTAGATCCTATCCACTCAGGCCCAAAATGTCATCAAGTATAGACAAATCCTCTATGAGGCATACCATTACCTCAATTGGATCTTGTGAAGGTCTGATCGAAGGATGCTGCATCTTCAGAAAGGCTCACCTCCTCCCCCTCCAGCAGAGAGGCCTTAACAGGCATTCCTGCAATAAAAGAGAAGAAAAGTTTGCTTGTGGAAGAACAGAATGAAAGATGTTGGCGGTTAAAGCAGGTTCCAATACAAAATTTGTGGGGTGAAATCGATGCCAGAACGAGCAAAACCAGCTAAGTTAGGAAGAAGTCCGACATGAAATCTTCTTCAGTTTTATCAGTCACTATGGCCTTGACTCTGCCCATACTAGTCACTGGAATAGATAACACAGTGCGGAGCTGGAGGAACACAACTGGGCAGGCAGCATCAAACATAATTTTCTGAAGAACGGTCCTGACCCGAAACATCAGCTTTCCTGCTCCTCTGATGCTGCCTGACCTGCTGTGTTCCTCCAGCTCCACACTGTGTTATCTCTGACTCCAGCATTAGCAGTTCTTACTATCTCTAGTAACTGGAATACTTTGTTCAAATGAGAAGTGGGTTTTTAGTCTGACTTTCATCTTCCAGTTTCAGCTTACGTTGTGTGCATTCTATTTCTGCCAAAATTAAAGTGTGTTAATAGGTCTTGTGAGGTGCTTGAAGAATTTGTCAGTTGTGGTAGACCAGCTAATGTTTAGTGCAATAGATCTGGGATAAAGTAGAGTTGAAATGGTGGTAATTTGAGAAATGATATTCCCTATATTGGTGGAAAAAGGTTCACAGAATTAATTCCCAATTGAGAGGCTGAATATATTGCATTTATGAAGAGAAATCAGAGTTAACGTTTTGGATCAGGGTTCTGATGAAGGGTCACTGAATCCGAAACGTTAACTCTGATTTCTCTTCACAGATGCTGCCAGACCTGCTAAGCTTTTCCAGCAATTTCTGTTTTTGTTTATCATTTACAGCATCAGCAGGTTTTTTTTTCTATTTTTATATTGGATTTGTGTTCTGATGCAGAGGTCATGTGATGCATTGGGAAGTGTCTCTGCCACCCAGCATAAGTTCTGGTTCAAGTCCTACTCTAAGACTTGATGGCCAAGGAAGATGCATGCTTCATGTGGCCAGACATTTTGGGTATGAACTTGCAAATCCTTCTAAAACATGCCAATGGCAGATGGTAAGAGTGGAAGAAATTCCTGGTCAACCATGTGATGTAAAAACTAGCTCCATACCTCAACATGCCGCTCACACTCCCTGAGTGAACTGTCATGCAGCACTATCACATTCTCTCTGGAGTTCAGAAGAATAAGGGATGATCTTCATGCAACACAAGTTTCTAAAAAGCTTGATGGGTTAGAAAGAGAGAGCAATAGAAGCATTGAGTGCTTGATGAGCTCAGCAGGTCAGGTTACATCTGTGAAGAGAGAAACAGAATTAATGTCCGATGTGACTCTTTCTCGGAACTGAAGGGAGAGGTGAAAATGTGATGGCTTTTGTACAATAGAAAATGTTGGGAGGAGTAAATAAAATGTCAGACAAAGTTTAGGGTTTAGGTGGTTTGAACATCACAGGTATCACAGAACAAAAGGGAAAAGGGAGTGGTAATAGTTGTAGAGGAGGGATAGGTCTGGACTACATCTTAATAGATGTTTAATAGTGGAATTTAGATTAGTTGTTCTGAAAGAAAAACAAGGAAAACCAGATACTGGGTGGGGAAGAGAGAAGGCGATAAAGAGAGAGATACATAGCAAAATGAAAGTTGAATTCAACTTTGAGTCCAGAGATTATGTTATTTTAGCTTCTGTTGGGCTTCAAAGGAACATTGCAAGTCATATTACAAAAATGTGAGCACGAGAGAAAGATGGTGTATTAAAATGGTAAGCATGTGCAGTGAAAGGAGGTGTTGCACTTTGTTTTGTGTTGTGACATCTGTGATCGCCAATCTCCCTTGCCCTCTAACCTTCTCCCGATTTGCTTTCTGTTCCCTTGCTCATTCCCATCTTTATCCTCATTAAAAAAAGTCACTTTCCACCTGTCTTCATTTTTGAAGATGTGTCATATTGGACTCTGTCCCTCACACCACAGACGCTGCCAGATACCTGTTTCACCAGTACTTTTGTTTTTATTTCAGATTTCCAGCATCCTCATTATTTTGCTTCAGAAATAGAGAGGTTAGAGAATCTAGAACATGGGGGTCGTATTGTATTTTTAACGCTTAGAAGCACAGAATTTTGGTTTCAAGGGATCAAAGGAGCAGGTGGGGAAGTGAAATTGAAAAAGATCAGCTATCTTCTTATTGAAGAGCAGACTCGAAGGGACATATAGCCTATTCTGCTTTTACTTTTGGCCTTAAGAGAAGGAGTTAATGTCGCACAGTAAAGGCAAATTATTAAAAGGGAGTCCTATGATAATGGGGATGCAAGTACCAAATAGTATTCGTACTTTGGCAACTCAAGTGAGTTTGTTGAGCTTCTTCTGATACTGCAACTTTCTCCTACATTAAAATAATGGGATTTCATCCTGTCAGCGGTGTACAATTTTCGAAGCACTTCCGGCATCTCAGGCAGGAAAATAAATTTCCCTTCAATTTTTGTTGGTTACACCAAGGCTTCTAAACCCTGGTGCTCGTCAGCATTTGCGGCCTCCATATTTCTGATTGCAACTGTGTACTTCTAGAATTTTCCCCAGCATCTATTTTCCCTTTTAGAGGTTCTTGCTGTATTTCTGCGCTATCCTAGGATACACTATATCACATCATGGAGATTTATTCAACTCTACATGTTCTAAGACCTCCAGCGCTTCCTCTTCTGTATTTTTTAAAAATATCAATATTTATTTCCCAAGTTCTCTAGCTTCCATTTCTCTCCCCCAGCAAAGTTTTTTTGTGATATATTTGTTTTCTATCTCTCCTGTCTTCTGAGGTTCAATACAAAAATTACCTCTTTGATTGTTAAGGTCCTACTCTCTCCCTCTCTAGTCACTCACTTGCTTTTAATGATCTTGCAGAATCTCTTTGGATTATCCTTCTCCTTATCTGCCAAAGCTATCTCAAATCACTAGTACTTGATATGGGTTCTCCTGCACTCCTAAACCCCCAAGCCCCAATTACACAAATGGTGTGTGTGACATAAATGGTAACCTACATTTCGTGTCCCAAGTTTAAGACAGTTCTCTCTGGTTTCTAAACCAAGTGTTTTAAATATTAATGGAGAAAATCATATTTTAGATGTTACAAATTAATTCAAATGTGACATACAAAGTTAGGAAAATGTTTTATTACATAATTCTTATGTCTGCTCTATTCCTTGTACAACTGTTTATTCCTTATAGCTGAAGAGCCGGTTGTGATAGTGACACAATCTCCAAATGAGGGGACAAGATCCACTGACTTTAATGTCACCTTCACAATTAGTAACCTGACATTCGTATCAGATTTACAAAACCTCAGTTCCTCTCAATATCAAGCTACATCAAGCCTTGTTATTAATTCGGTAAGCCAAGACTGGAATTATACATTATGTTCTGACTGATATCAATCAATATCAACAGTGTGCTTCTGTCTCTAAAACATTTTCTGTGATTTTTTTTAATAGCTCAGGAATCTCTACAGAAAAAGCAAGATAAAGAAAGCATTCTTACATTGTAAACTTGCATCTTTCAGGTAAGATTAGTGTCCATTAACCATTCATTGTTTGCATCAAAGTATCTCAACAGAAGCCTGTTGAAAGTACAGTAATGCCTTTCATACAAAATTTAAGTTATTTAAAAGAGAAGTAGGAAATGCTGGAAATTCTCAGCAGGTCAATCAAAATAAGAGGTAATGTCAAAAGTATAGGTAAGATGAATGGTGGTTTCAAAAACATACATGCAGACAAAAACACACACACACATACACACACTCACACAGCTACTCTGTGACACACTGAGACAAGCACAAATGCACACACATATCCACACACACAGAAGCAAGGAGCTAAAATGGAAAACAGAAAATGATTATGAGACTGAAACAATGTTAACATGAAAGTGTAAGAGGCAAAACGAAAAATATGCTTATAATAGAGAAATTGGCAACATGCAGGGAACATGAAGGGAGTATATCTGCAGTCTGTCATTGAAACAATATTAAAACTGGAAAGCAGTAAAATGCCCAAGGGAAAGAAAATATATCTTTTTCCTTGAACATGAATTAACTTCATTGGAACTGTGAAAAGGTCAATAGCAGCGAACCCGAGAGGAAGCAGAAGAACTAACTGAAATGACAAGGGTTAGTAGATACTCCACAGATTGGAAATATTCAGCGAAGTGATTACCTGCCATTAAAAGTTGTCCTTATTTCAGTTTAATAAGCTTTCGGTTTTCACATTGGAAATAAAGGCTATGATCAGGTACAACCATCTTGTAACTATATTGAAAATGAATTTTGATCACTTGACGATTATTTTCAATGAGCATGATGGAAATCATGCTGAGATATAACTGCTTTGGAAATTAGATTATACCCATCACTGGAATCTGCAGCTATTCCTATCAAATTAACATGGTTGGGGCTCGTGAACTGAACCTCAGTAATCCCATGAAAAATGCTATATATGACAAAAGAAGCTGACCAAGCTGACTCTCCGAGAAAAATAGCTGCTTAAGGCCCTGGTGTATGCATGTACCAGGAAGTGGCTTTAACAATTGTTTGAATTTGTTTCAGCAATCTAGAGGAGGCCAGTGTATTGTACTGATGCTGCACCACACCACAGATATTGTATGAAACCAGGAACTCTCAAAATGGGCAGTCCATATCCTAGGCACACACCTTACCTCAGTGATCTTGTGATGAAAGTGCAATGTTTTAGGCAGGAGGCCACTGGAATGGATAAATTTTCAGGATGATATCAGAGAATCTTTAAGCCAGTGTCAGGAAAAGACAAGCAATTTGCATTTTGCTAGTTACACCTTCACTATATTACAAATTATTTGTTTAAAAACTTGTATTTTATGTTCTATTTTTAGTTAAATAGCCAAGTAATCAGATTAATTTTAATATATCCAATATACTTTTTTCTATAAAAAAAAATCTGCACTATATTTCAAAAATGTGTTGTAATAGTAAAACAATTAAACAATCTTAGTCATTTTACAAAAGATGCCTATGTATTGTTAATGCAAAATATTGAGAATTGTTAATATTTTAATGAATCATTGTTGTATTTGGTGGTGATTTTTTTTTACAAATTCTATATTGCCTTTCCCCAGGCCTGGAAATGAAGGCAAGACTAAGGTTAAAGCAATCTGTTCTTTTAAAAATAACCCCACTGTGAATGAAGTTGATAAAGCCACTGTTTATAATGAGTTCAGAGACAACACTGAGAAAATCACTGCATTGGGAAAATATGCATTGAACAAAGACAGCCTTTACGTAAATGGTATGTACTGATTCAAATTAAATAATAATAAAGCTTAAACAGCGACACTTTACTGTACGCTATATCTTTTCACAGTTTATACTAAACATTGGTTGAATTTGAACGGTGTTCATCAGCTATGAACTTTGTAAAACACCAAAGCCCAAATTGTGACAAAAAATCCTGCCCTGTCTTGCTGCTTTTCTCTTCAAGTTTTAGAATTTTTAATGAATAATCAAGATGTAAATGATGAATGCTAAAGAAAAGCATCATTTAATATAGATTATTCCCAGAAAATGATCTGATGATCAAAAGAAAAACGAATCTTGAATGCTTTCCTTGGAACAAGTGCATTTTAGATCCTGAATAATAACTGATACTTTTGCTGAAGCCTTGGGCAACATATTTACATTTCATACCTTAATTTTAGGCTATCAAGAATTGAAACCAACTATAACACCAACTATAACTTTACCTGCAGTCTGGGAAGGAGACTTGCCATTTGAGCTTAACTTCACAATAATAAACAGAAATTTTACTGAAGCACTTAACGACACAAATTCTCCTGAATATCAAAACATTGCTGCCAATATTACCAGGATGGTAAGGATTATTTTCTAGTCACTGTTTAAAATTTAAACTTCATGTCCAGAAGACCAAATACATCACTTGCCTTTTTCATTATCTCAATTGATGGTAATTCTGGATGAGTCAAATCTCAGAGTAAAATGTGACTTGATAGATTATAAATTACATTTTTATAATTGGTGGCTAGTCACTCAACATATTCTCACAAGGCTGCAATATTCTTTAACACAAGAATACAGGTTTATTACACTAATGAGAAAAAAAAGACATAAAGGCATGTCATAAAGATCCTAATAAAAACAGCAAAATGAAGTTTCTACCTGTTTCCCAACAATACCCTTTACAGTTACTAAGTCTCAGAGAAATATCATTCTTTTCTCAACTTATTTCTTGCATAACTGACTGTTTGCAGTTCCATCTTCTTGGACTGCTATGATAGTTTTATGTCTGTTTTCTACTTATTCTGGCCTGACCTCCTTTACAGTTCTGATGCCTCTTTTCAATTCTGAAAAATTCAAAAGCTTCCTTACAAACTCTCACAGCATGGACGTTTCACAGACTAGAACTCTTTCGCTAGGTGAAACTGTTCTCATGAACTCCTGATTCTGCTGAATGGGAACTAAACTAATATAAGCATTTCATCAGTTAACACCACTCATATCGGCTGTGCACTTAATAGAATCACATTCTTTCTTAGAAATGATATATTTATGTCTGACACCTTTAAAAACTCAGGTACCGTCACAGAACTGAAACTAAAATCCATCTGACTCAATTTGAACACTCCAGAACTCCGAAATAATAGTATTAATATGCACCTTTATCACACTTTCAAATGAATTTTATTGGTGGGGTGTTATTCAATTCTTAATCTGTGCTCTTTTTATTAAGATCAACTCAATGGATCTTTTCAACATTTTCAGGAGTATTTATTGCATATTTCATAAGAAATCTGAAATCTGTACTTACTATGGTATATGTTTTTCAGCTCACAGGATTATTTAAAAAGAGCTCTTTAAAGAAGAGTTACCGCACCTCTAAAGTTACAGGACTGAGGTAAGAGACTTATGGTGCAAGCTAGATACCATTGAGATTAAACAAAGTGATGACCTTTAGTCGTAAGGAAGACATTGACTGCCCCAGCCACATTTACAATCTTGACCTCCCTGATTCCTCCCCACCTAATTAATTCACCAAAAAGATCATGGCCCGGAATGTGCACACCCATATTGATTGCTGGTGATTATTCTGACCGTTCCTGTCATCCTCCTGCCTGTAGTTATTGGTCTGATTGTATGTACAGATAGTTCATCTAGCCAGTTGTTGATCGGAATCTGCATGCTTTGTTCAAAATATCCTGGGTCGACCTCCAGCAGCTCCAGAAATACATACTTAATGTAAAAGAAATGTAAACACAACTTTAATGTTCAAAACAAGTTCCTGATTCACTTTGCTCTGTGAACTATGTCCTATGGGGAACAACTGAGATGAAACCTGGTCACAGAATGTGTCCTATGCGTTACAGAATCCTGAACATCTCTACAGAACATTGCATAATGGCACAGCAAAAATTATAGTTCGACTAATACTATAATGTTGCATTTGCAAAGGTATTGTGAAAGGGTAAGATAGTTTGATTCAAACTTGATATGCAGGTACTTGTGATATACACTCAATCACTGCAGGTGCATAGTGGCTCAGTGGTTAGCATTGCTGCCTCACAGTACCACAGACCCAGGTTCAATTCTAGCCTCAGGTGACTGTCTGAGTGGAGTTTGTACATTCTCCCTGTGTCTGCATGGGTTTTGTCTGGGTGCTCTGGTTTCCTCCCGTAGTCCAAAGATTTGGTGGTTTGGCCATGCTAAATTGCCTGTAGTGTTCAGGGATGTGTAGGTTAGGTGGGTTGTTGGGGTATGGGTCTGGGTGGGCTGCTCCAAGGGTCAGTGTGGACTTGTTGGGCCGAAGGGCCTGTTTCCACACTGTAGGGATTCTATGAATCTTTGGGATACGTGTATTGTCAAGTTATTCATCCATTTGGGCTATGCACATTTATGAAGAGGAAAAGATTCAAGCTTTCTTTTATTTTGAATTTCCTCATCAGACGTGGATCAGTTAAATGCACCTGCTTGAGCTACTTCAACCCCAACAATGCAAATGAACTAGTAACAGCAGAAAAAGTCAGAACAGAATTCGCTATTGCAACAAATGAAACAACCTTACTTGGAAATGTCTATCAGCTAAAAAGTAACAGCTTAACAGTGGGTAAAGTATCAACTCGAACTATTTCATTAGAACTACCAATAGCATGAATCAAGGCTGGATCACTATTGGACAAAAAGTGGACGCTTCTGCCCATGGTCTATCTGGAAATCTTGAGGAAATCAATGGCTGTTAACTGTTTTTGGCGTATGTATGGTATGATAAAATATAATCTGGTCTTGAAATGCCTTACCAACGTGCTGACTGTCTAACTCCTGCCTTGCATTTGGCGATGCCTAAATGTTCCTTATGGAGCCTCTGTAAAATTTATCATTTCATTGACCTTAGTCAAACACAAATATATCTTCTATTATTGACCAGTATTGTTTTCCGATACTTTTCAGCATTTTGTCTGCCGGGGTATATTTTAACCACGCTTGCAGATAGGTTTGTTTGACCTTTGTGCTCTCCTTGTCAGATTTTTGATCAGCAAGAGTTACTCTGAGTTTTCTCTCTGTTGCCAGGAGAGTGTTGGGTTATAGCTGTAGAATAAGGCTGCATTTCTGCCACAAGAATAGATCTTCCTTTTCTGTTTGTTCCACTGCTGATATCTCCTATTATAAGCGTGTTGCCTGGAACGTAGCCTGTGACATATTCATACTCAATTGTCTAATTCTGAACCTTTGCTTGTGGAAAGGCATTTTTTAAAATTCTTTCAATCCCAGTAACGTGACCAGGAATAAAAGTCCCACAAGGAAGGCTATAAATCTTTTGCATCCCTGCTAATGGTTCCTTCCCTCTGGTTGTGTAACCCAATCCAGTTTACATCAAAACTCTTGATCTAAAATATATAAGTTTTCTTCTTCCATCAGTTTCCACTTAGGTAAAGACTACTCCAAGTCCTGTGGATGATGCATCTGTGGTTACTATAGTGAATAAGCCTAGATTGTGATGTGCAAGTTCATCAGAAGAAAAAAAGCTTGTTTTCAATCTTCTCAAAAGCCGCAGTCTGTTCCTGACTCCAATACCAATGCTGGCCTTTCTTCCAAAGCTCTCCAATAGGTTGGGTAAGACTGGATAAATTAGGCATAAAGAGTCCCACTTGATTCACCATGCCAACGAAGCAATTTACATCATTTATACACTTCAGTGCTTTAAATTCACTACTGGTCCTGATCTTCGTTGGATCTACCATGATGCCTTGCTTTTTGGATTAGGTATCCTTGGAGTTTAATGCCAATTCTCCAGAATGATGATATCTCACAAAGTGCATAGCCTGCATTTTGTATTGCCCTAATATGTATATGTCTTTCTGGTCATATCCTTCTTCATTTTATCATGCATTCGGATATCATCCATGTGGCAAATTGTCTGCAACTTCCCTTTCAGAATTCCAGACATTCCTCTTTTAGGAATCTCTGCTACATAGGAGGTCCTAAATGGCAGGTGGTTTTCTTTACTTATTCATGGGATCTGGGCAACACTGGCTAAATCCTCATTTATTGTCCACCATATTTCCCCTGAGAAGGTGGTGGTGAGCTAACTTCTTGAAATACTACAGTCCATTTGGTGTAGGTATACCCATAATACCTTTGTGCTCCAGAACTTTGACCCACCAACACAGAAAGAATGGTGATAAGTTTCCAAGTCTGGATGGTGTGTGGATTGGAAGGGAACTTGTAAATGGTAGTATTCCTATGTATCTGCTGCCCTAGTCCTTCTAGATACTGGTGGTCATGGATTTATAAGATGCTGTCTGAGGAACCTTGGTGAATTTCTGCAATGCATCTTGTAGTTCACAGACACTTCCATAACGATACTAAAACAGTGTAATAAATGTAGTCAATAACCTTGACTTATGGTGGAAGGACACCTGCCAAGATGAACTGTTTTCATCCAGTGTTGTGAAAAGCATGTTTGTTGGCAATTTGGCCAAACTGTTATTGACAGGCAAAATAAGGCAGATTTCTCTTCTAACTTGATAATTCAATATGGAGATTCATGCATAATCTTAGTTCTCCATTTGTCTTGGGGACACTCACTAACCCTGAGCATCATTGTGTCTAGTGACGTGTCTCTACTTTCAACCATGTTGTCTAACTGTAATTTTACCTTTCTCAAAGGATGAGGAATTTTCCTGGGAGTATACAAGCAGATGGGCTTAATATCTCCTTGCAGAATAACATGAGACTTATGCTTCAATTTGCCTCAAACTTTGAATAATTTTGCAAATTCTGGCTGAAACTCTGACATGTCATAATTCTGAAAAGTTGTATCCACTCTCTCCATGAGATCTAGAAAAATACGTGCATTACTGCGTAACAATTAAATAGGATTCTTCAGTGTATCGAGTGAGACATCAACATCTCATCCTTTACAACTACATTTTGTGGTAGTTTGCCCACTAACCTGAAGATCTGTGCCTCCTGGACTTTGAAGTTTTATTTTACTGATCTAACTTGCAGACTTCAACTATGGCAAGATGTTTCCCAATACTGAAACATTTGCTCCTGTGTTGAGATTGACTTATATTTCAAACCCTTGCATCTTCAAGTTCATGGTCTAAAATCTGCATTAACTCTCTTAGACCTCACTTAGACGGTCTTTGACTTAACCTGTATCTTTATTTTCCTAAACCTTGTGTATGATTTTCAATACTCTGGAAATTTTCCTTTAGCAGGACGTTTCCTTTGTTTTTGAGGCAATGAATACCTTACACTCCTTTTAATGCAGACAGCTATCCCTGCTGGCCATTCACTGCACTTGTGGTTCTGCTTTGGCCCACATCTTGTCCAACTTAAATTTGGTCAATTACGCTGAATCCCACTCATTTGGCATTTTGGTTGTCTTTGGGACGATGATGGCGCCATCTTGGGGCCTACCCCATCTGACTGTGCCAAAAGGATTCCCAATGTTTCCTAGCAGAACTGATTAAGTTTGGTCCTTTGTTTCTGCCTGAATGTTTAATGTGATTACCTGTTCCAATGTCAAACCTTCCTTGGTTTGAAATAAGTCCAACAAATTCTCATCCCTCAGACCAACTATGATACAGGCTAATTAATTCATCCTTAAATCTCCAGACATGCAACATCTTGATACATGTTATAAATACATGAAAAATAGTTCTATTGATTCTTCCAAGTGCTAAGAACACATAATTTCCTCTGGGGCTAAAACACGCACTGAATGCTTTAACCAATGCATCATTTTCTCTAGTTCATTCTTCCATACAATGCCTTATAAATGGGCTTATAACAGTTAAAAATGTGCTGACTAGGTATTGCTATTTCCTGAAAAGTTCAGTAGGTCTGGCAGCATCTGTGAAGGAAAAAACAGAGTTAACGTTTCAGGTCCGGTGACCCTTCCTCAGAACTGATAGTGGCTGGGAAAACATCAGTTTATATGCAGAAAATAGGGAGGTAGGTGGGGTGGGGAGTAAACAATAGGATAGAGCCCAAAGAGAGAGAAAGACAGTTGGACAGACAAAGGAGTTGCTAACGAACAGGCTGGGAAGGTGAATAGCACAGCTATCTGAACTATACAGCCTTACACCCTGCTTCCTGTAAAGACTCCATCCCATTCTCTCAGTTCCTCCGTCTCTGTCGCATATGCTCAGATGAGGCCAACATCAACAAGGTAGTCTCTGAAATGTCCAACTTCTTCCTGAACCAAGGATTCCCCAGCACCGTTGTCACCAGGGCCCTCAGCCAGGTCCAATCCATCTCCCGCACTTCCGCCCTCACCCCTTTTCTTCCCTCCCACAACAGCGATAACATTCCCCTTATCCTCACCTACCATCCCACCAGCATCCACATCCAGAAGATCATTAGATGCCATTTCCGCCACCTCCAGCGAGATGCCACCACAAGACACATATTCCCCTTCCCTTTCTCTTGTCTGCCTTCCACAGGGACCGTTCCCTCCGGGACACCCTGGTCCACACTTCCTTCACCCCCAACACCTCCCCACAGCCCTACGGCACCTTCCCCTGTAACTGGTGAAGGTGCAACACCTGCCCATTTACCTCCTCCCTCCCCACTATCCAAGGGCCCAAACATACCTTCCAGGTGAAGCAACACTTCACCTGCACTTCCCAGAATCTTTTTACATCTCTTCTAGTTGAATCTAGTTTAAGACTAGTCAAGTCTTTTCTCAAACTCATTTACCAATGCCAGAATCACATCATCAATTACATCACCACAATTTGCATATTTTATTATGCAACACACATCTGACATGGATACACTTCACACATGCACTTAGCACTGTGGCATGTCATGGACCCACAGGTTGCAGTTATTTGAAAAGGACAAATTGTTTGACACCCTTGGCACACTTCCCTCTCTCTTGCAGGTCAAGGTGGCACAAACATGAAGCAGTGAGAGCTAACCTGAGAGTGACAAATGAGCCTGTTCTAATGCCATGGAGGACACAGTGCTGACCATTATTAAGTCAGCCATTTTTGAGGCAGTACCAGTGGTTGGGCTAAAATCATCAATGATGGTACTCCCATATATAATCATACATCTCATACTACACCCACTCATTTCATAACATAAGAGTGCAGCTGTTAATGTTGTGCACACCCATCACTCCTCACACCACAGCCACGCTGCCATTCACTTTCAGATGGCCAAACGTACTAGAGGTCAAAGCTGTTTCCACTCCATGAGACTCAAATGCGCACTTCAATGGGCATCTTTTTTATCCATTCGCAGGATGAGGACATGACTGGCTAGACTAGCATTTATTGCCCATCCTTAATTTACCCAGAGGACAGTTCAGAATCAACTATATTGCTGCATATCTAGAGTCACATGTAGGCCAGGTCAGATAAGATGGCAGTTTCCTTTCCTAAAGGATATTACAGAATCAGATGAGTTTTCCCGACAATCGACAATGGATTCACGGTTATCATCAACTCTTAATTCCAGATTTACATTGAATTCAGATTCCATCATCTGCCATGGCAGGATTCAAATCCAGGTCCCCAGAACATTACCTGGGTCTTTGGATTTACAGTGCAGTAATAACACCACTAGGCCATCACTTACTCTGCATCTATTGATGAAAGCTGGTGGCTATGCACAATGAATTGCTTTGTGCTTTGTGAAGCCTGCCAGAAAACCAATAGTCAATGTCAAGGAGCGTAGGGGGGGGGGCCCAACCCCCAAATTGGCACAGGGCTTTGCACACAGCATGGATTCATTTCTTCTTAGTATGAAAAGGATAGCCAACTCCATTTGCACAGTTGTGGATCCAACTATGCCTGACATCCAAGCTCATAAGTCTACTGCAGCAAGAGCTGCAGAAACCATTCAGTGTCTGAATACAATCTCAGACATGCTTCCATACAAGCTCAGGCTGCTGCTAACATAGCTGTGAACTGCTGTCTGCAAACTGGTGTCATGGTGTCACAGCAGTCCAGTAATCTGTCCTCCAATAGATTTCCAGGATGGCTGGGCTGATATCCCATGCACAACCATGGAATAAAATCCTACTGTCCTCTCTCAGCATGACTGCATTCATTACCCAAGTCTGTCACTCTGCTAGTGCTCTTGATGTCACAGTTGTTTGTTGTGCTGTACAAAGGTGAATGAGCATCCTGAAACTAGATTTTCTAGACTTGGAATTACCAAAGGTTGTCTGCCAAGGTCATACGTACTCTTCGCCTCTTAAAGTCAGAGGTGCTCCTGGCCACTAGTCATGCACTGAGGTGGCTACGTGGGAGCATTAGGACAAATTATAGCACACGGGAAACAGGAAGGAAGGGAATGCAAGGTTGATTAGTTGACGTCCATACATGATATGGCGTGATTTCACCTGATTTGCAGTTTTGAAGTGGCCTCTATTTTGCTTTACAACCAAGCACATGCTATAAAAATCAATGGCAGAAACAAGGTGTGATTCAGTTAGTGAATGGAAAATTAGTTTTGCAGTTATAAGTATCACCAGTGGATGAGTTCTTAATAGACAACCCAGGCAGACAGGAAATAATATAGAAACCTCACTGTTCCAGGACTATAACCTGGTCTCGTGTGATTTTTGACTTTATCCACCCGAGTCCAACACCAGCACCTGCACATTGAGGGAATGCGACAGTGCTCGGATTGCTGGCTTTCAGAGGAATTATTAATGAACAGTGACCTTTGTTCTGCTGAGTGCTACTTCCCAAACAGTTCAGTGTTGCTTTGTTGCTTCATCATGTCAACAGTCATGACATTTGGTATAGCAGAGAGGCAGTCGTCATGTGATCACTAGTTATGTATCAGCAGATAGCCTGAGTCACTCAGTAGCTCTGGCAACTCAAATGCAAATGACACAGCATATTACAGAATGATGGAATGATGCAGAAGCTAACGTTTCAAGTCTAGATGACAATTCATCAGAGCTGAAGGGTGCTCTGATGAAGAGTCATCAGACTCAAAATGCCGGGTAGCTTTCTCTCCACGAATGTTGCCTGACTTGCTGTGATCTCCAATATTTCTTTGTTTTCAGTTTAGATTCCAGCATCTGCAGGAATTTTCCCATATATTGAGGTCAATTTGCCAGATGTGGCAATGCTTACGATATTTCCTGTAACATAAGAGACTTGGTGTGGATTACGAGGAACTGAATGATGATGTACAGGTTTTTTTTTTAATAGCTGTCTACTACATTCAATTACACAGACACATGAGTGTCTTGGCTAGTATTAGATAATTCGATCACTGCAGAGCAGCATGCTTTCAAAAGCATGTTGTCCTGCAAGTGGTCCCAAGCAAGATAACACCTAAGACCTTTACATCCTCAGGACACACGCTATCATACAGTGATTATATCATGAGCGTGTCTCTTAAAGCTATACTTACATACTGATTGTGAGACATAACAAATCATCATCATCATCACTGCTACCAATATACTAGGCACCAATCTACATGTTTCACTGCCTATATCCAACAGATTGCCCAATGGGTGCAAACAATCCATCTTACCTCAAGTATTAAATGCTAACTCTGACAGCTGTTCTGGCTCACTTCTGGTCAACTTATAAATTTACATTTCCAGTCATGCTTGGTATGTTCTAACCTTTTTGTGGTCAATCATGATTTCGTAGGCCTCTTCTGGCATAGTGGTAGTGTCCCTACCTCTGGATTAGAATGCCCAGATTCAAGTCCCACCTATTCCATATTTGTGTCATAACATTTCAGAATGGATTGATTAAAAGTATCTATCATAATTTAATGTTTTTCCATTAAAAAAAATTTCTTTATGAATGTTCTGACAGACTGCGGATTTCTTGTGACCCAGACAGTTTCAACACCTTTCCTACATTCATACCTTTATCTCTGACCAAGTGAAACAAGTACCTCTGTACAATGCATCATCTAGCTCATTTTGATTTATTCTTGGGATTTGGACATCACTAGCAAGACCAGTATTAATTGCCCACCTCTCATTATATTTCAGAAAGTGGCAGTAAGCTGCCTTTTGGAGCTTTCTAGTTCTTTCGGTGTAGGTACAGCCACAGTACCATCAGAATTGGTACTTGACCACAAGACCACTGTCTGACACCATCACTGGTACATTTAAATGCTTCATCCAGTCTATCATATTTGGAATAATGATACTGAGGCTAACTACCATATCTGTAAGACACATTTTGGATTCATCTAAAGTTGAAATTAACTTTTCACACAAGATATAGTGAACGAACTTTTCAAAATAGTCTACTATGAGTTGCCTGTTTGAACTCATTCAAATAAGGCCATGCAAGGGATAGTTCCCAATGGAACTTTTGCTCAGAGAATCAGAGCTATGATGTAGCTCTATCTCTGAGTCTAGCTGCTTTTAACAACAGTTGCCTTCACCCAAAATTTTAAAAAAGTAGAATGACCCCCATATAGTTTCCAACTTACTGACAAGTGTACATTATAAGTTGTGGTACATCACTTGCACTGTAAGATTTAATTCACATTTATTTCACAATTGATTGTTTTGCAATTTGTATTTTATTTATGCAGAAGCTAAAGCACCGATTTCTGACAACAAAGTCGAAATTCCATACTGGGGAATCATACTCATTGTTCTAGCCGCACTCCTTGTTCTATTTCTGTTCATCCTTGGAGGTATACTGGTACGTACAACAGATTATTCAATATTGTGCACAGTGCTGAAATCTAGAAGTGTAGAGTATACAATGGGAAATTGTAGAAGTAAGATCAGAATAAAGGCATGCCATGTAACATCATGAGCTAAACCAATCAGAAGAATAATTTATCTCCAAGATTTAACAGTGCATAATTATTGTTGTAAGGCAGAACAAGTTCTAATGCTTCCTCTAAAAATATCCTCAAGCATACGTGTGTTAAGCATGAAAAAATGTGCTGAAAACACAGGTCAAGTCAGCATTTGTAGAGAAATATCTGTTCAAAGAGAGAAAAATAAGCAAATAAGGGAGGAAAAGTTTTTACAAACCACATCAGATCACTAACATTACCTGATAAAACGAAACTGAAGGTTATACAGAAATTCTAAAGTTATATAGGTCAATATTCAGACCAGAGATTAACTTCACAATACCCAAGTAAAAATTGAGATACTGCTGCTAGGTGGAACAGATCAGGAGCCAAAGGTTCAATGGCCAGAAGGGGAGTCATATTTTACTTAATAAATTGTGATAATTCTCATATGTTTAGTAACCAACATTTTATTCTTTCAGATTGCATTGTGCTTGAAAAGAAAGTACCTGGGGTCCTACAACATGATGCAAAACCCTGCTGGCTTCTACTTTCCACATCAAAAATTCTATTGACAAGGAGCATTAATGATAAAAAAAAACTGGTGATAAACAGCAAAAATGCAAATTAGAAAATGATTAAAGTAGAAATAGCATGTTATAATTATGTAACTAAATGGAACTAATCCAAATGAATTATTTGTTGCAACTCTCTGCATTCCTCTACGAAACTTTTAAGACTTTACTTGAAGAAAAGCACTAAAGGAAAATAGCAGTCAAAAAATATTTTATATTGATGACAAAATGTTTAGGTATTAAAGCTAAAAAATATTAAAAGTGACAAATGCTTGTCACGCTTCTCTGTCTTGAACATTTTCTTTGTGCATCAGCTGCAATAAATTATTGTCATCAGTCACACATCTTCTGCATCATATTAAATGTTATATTTATCTCTGTTATCTACAAGAATATCAATGATATGAACTTCAATAATAATCAGTACTGTGGTGATCTAAGAATTCTATTACATAATTATTGGAAACTATTTAAAATATTTGAATGACAGAAGAAATAGATTAAAATATTTATAAAATTATTTTTTTTCTGGGTGATGAACATTTACAAAGCTGGCTATTTTTGTAAATCGTGTCAAAATAATGAGAGCCAAGAATAAATTACTTATAACAAGCTTTCATTTTATATTTCATTCTTAACACCATTACATGCTGGATGTTTCTTCAAAACTACACATTTTCATCAGTCAAAACTGACAGTATACAGAACAAAGGTAGAAACTCAGCTTTTCTCCACAGGGTAATCCTCAATGCAGTTCCACCTTGGATAAGTGCTTTTGCTGAAATTTGGGAAACAGAAATCCAACACCAAGGGACATGCAACAGTGATTACAGGGCGAGGAATTTTTTATTCCTTCATGGGATGTGGGTGTTGATGGCTGGGCCAGCATATATTTCCCATCCTGAGTTACGCTTGAAAAGATGGCAGTGAGCCACGTTCTTGCCTCTCTGCTCCTATGATGCTGCTTGGCCTGCTGTGTTCATCCAGCCCTGCACCTTGTTGTCTCGGATTCTCCAGCATCTGCAGTTCCTACTATCTCTCACGTTCTTGAACTGTTGTGGTCCCTGTGCTGTGAGTAGACCCACAATGCTATGAGAGAGGAAATTCCAGGATTTGGACCCAACACTGAAGGAATAAGATATATTTCCAAGTCAGGGTGGCGAGCGGCTTGGAAAGGATCTTGCCAGAAGCAGGTGCAGGTATTTGCTACCTTCGTCATTTGAGATAGAAATAATCATGGGTTTTGAAGCTGCTGTCTAAGGAGCTTTGATGAATTTCTGCAGTACATCATGTAGGGTAAACACTGCTGTTACTGATCATCGATGGTGGCAGGCATGAATGTGCTGCCAATCAAGCTAGCTGCTTTGTCCTGGATGGTGTCAAGCTTCTTGAGTATTTTTGGAGCTGCTGTCTAGCAGGCAAGTGATCAGACTCCTGAGTTGTGTCTTGTAGATGGTGGACATGATTTGGAGAGTCAGAAAGTGAGTTATTCACAAGATTTCTGGCCACTGACCTGCTCTTGTAGCCACTGTGTTTATATGCCTAGTCTGATTCAGTTTCTGGTTATTGATAACCCCCAGAATTTTGATAGTGGGGGATATGGTGATAACACCATTGCAAGTCAAGATGCTGTGGTTAGATTGTCTCTTATTGGAGGTGGTCATTGCCTGGCATTTGTGTGTGTGATGACCCCTACAGGACCAAAGGGAATCACTAATTAACCTCCCAGTGGAACTCAATGAGTATGAGTTCTCTTGGATACAGGCAATGGCCTATCCAGCTAAAACTCATCACCTGAACCCTTTCTGGTGAGTCTGTACAATTGTCTGTCCTGGGCTAGGACTAGCCTACGTATGCCACGAGTAGTGGCTCTATTTTGATGTTCAACAATAAATGATGTTTCTTTCTGGTCTGGCTTCCTGAATTATTAAATTGACGAAGAGAGTAAAGTTTCCAACAGTGTTGCCTTTCAACGAGATCTGTAAGACCGTGACAGGTAAGTATTGGAACACTACTGTTTGGGAAACTAGAACCTTATGATGTGGTTGTGGAGGATTGGCCCCAGTATGCCAAAAGAATCAGATATCTTTTTGAAGCAAACAGGATAGAAGGGGACCACCATCAAAACTTCATTCTCTTGACTGCTTGTGGGACCCTGACTTCCAGTATCCAGAGTCGGAATTTTTTGACTGACAGGAATGGTAGCAGACCAATATGACCCCAAATCATCTGTTATATTGTAGTGGTGCAGGTTGAACACGGCAGCTAGACCATCTGTTATTGAATTCTTGATGAGACTGAGGACATTGGTAAACACTGAGCACGGGTGAGCATTTCGAGGAATGTTAAGACATCACTTAGTTTGTGGAATTAATATTATTGTGACCCAAAGGAAGTTACTTACTGAACCATTGCTGAACCTCAAAAAGGCCATAGAACTAGCCCTTTCCTGCGAAAATGCAGAAAAAGGGCTCAGGAGTTTCAGGGGTCTATAGATGGTATCATCCTCAGCCTTGGGCTACCCCTACACTGTAGCACCAAGTCCCCAGCGGTTAATACCTGCAGCTCCCATTGGTTGGCAAGGAAGGACGAATGGAATCAGAGGCTGCAAGTTTCCAGCACTGGACAGGACGTTTCTTCACAAATAGTGATGAGCAAGAACATCCATGTCAAATTTGTAGTCTTGGATCTGCCCCACACAAGGCTAGCAAAACGTGAAAGTATACCACCTAAGCCAAAGGGTGAAGCCACCGCAAGACAAGGATATGCCTGAGGATGAGGAATTGATACAGTTAAATTACATCGCTGCTTCAAAAATGGCCCCAATTAAGACAAAATTCCAAGTAAGTGGCCACTCCGTAGACATGGGGTAGATACACGTATCAATGTATCTATTGTTGGGAGAAAACCATTAGGAAGCTCAGATGGAGCATTATGCCTTTAAGCTTGCAAGACTTGATTGGCCACATGCACTGGGAACCCTTATGTATTATTGGGACCGCTGTAACCCCACTTAAATATTGGCAACAGACAGTCTGACTCCCCTTACTGGTGGTGCAAGGGTCAGGTCACAACTTTTGGGAAGGGACGGGCTACAAAAAATCCACCTGGACTGGCAACAGATCTATAAAAAGAATACCTGTGATCTAGATGAAGTCGTCGAGAAGTATCCCAAGAGGGCTTCATATTTTATTGACGTATGAACAGATAATAGGGATAACTCTCTGAAGGTTAGAAGACTCAAAAATGAAAGTCACGAATGGCTAAAACAAGAACTAATGTTTATGTAGAAGAAATAAAAAAAAACATAATGAGAAGGGTTAGTGGGAAAGGTTCATGCCCACAACCCCTACACTGAGACTTCTCACTATACAACTTCCACTCTATGAGTCCTCCACAAAAATCACTTACCTTTTCACTCATCCCCGTCTCTATGGCTGCTTCTTAGCCAGTAGTCTGCACCCTGAATGCATTGCTGCTTCCTCCAGCTGGTTGGTTGAAAAGACTGCCAATCAGCACCTAGGTCCTGATTGACACTGGTCCAGCGAGCTTTCTCACTGTGAGGGATTGTGGAGGGGGCTGTAACTCACCTTTAAAGACACCTGACCCACACTTAGCCAAAAATAATGGAACATCCTGGCCAATTTCCATGTTATTTATGTGACACCAGGTCTAATGAGGCTGATGGTGGTCAACACAGAGCACAGTACAACAGCCAGAAATAAGGTTCAAATAAGTGAGTGCTGCTTAATTGAAATTTAGCTTGACTTTTCAGTTTTACTTTAAATTTAAGCTTAAATTTGAAGTTAATTTGAAACTTTAAGAACTGCAGAAAAATTCATCAGGATTAACCAGAAACTGTCTGTGGTAGTCAACTGTCAATGATCTGAATTTGTTGCCTCAATTGGTGACAATTAATATGAGAAAGCTATTGAGTCAATAGTTGTAAGTTGAGTGAGGCTCAAAGAAGTGTACAGAAGTCAACAGTATCAGCTATACCATGGAATGGTCATCATAGAGCAAACACAGAACAATGTGGGATTTGATGAGGGAAGGACTACTTTTTGCTTTTTATTTTCAACACAGAAATATGCAAGAGATAGGAGTATACCATTCAGCAGATTGAGTCTACATTCAATACAAACTTGGGCTTTGTCTCCATTTTCCCAATTGCTTCTCAAATTCTGTGGTTCCCTGAGAGACCAAATATACAATTATACATCTATCCCAGCTTTAAATATAGTCAACAAAGGAGCACACACAACCCTCTAGGATAGAGAATTCCAAAGTTTCCATTTGAGTGAAGAAATATCTTATCACTTTAAGTCCTGGATGACCGAATCGTTATCCTTATCTACCCTTATGTTAGATTTGTCAGCATGGGGAAACAATCTCTCCATGATCATTCCGTTAAGCCCCTTCAGAATCTTGTATTTTTCGATGAGATTACTTTGATTCTTCTGAACTTCAGAGAATGCAGGCCCAATTTAGTCAATCTCTCATCAAAGGACAGCCCCCTTCTTTCAGGGCAAATATAATGAACCTTCAATTTTCAAAGCAAGTATATTCTTCCTTAAATATGGGGACCAAAACTACACACAGCTCTCCAGTTGTGATCTAAACAAAGTTCTGGACAATTATATCAAGACTTCTTTATTTTTGAATTCTAATCCCGGTACAATAAAAGTCAATATGGCATTTCCTTCCCAATTGCTTGCTGTATCTGCATGCAATTTTGTGTGTTCCTTATATAAGCATACCCCTGTCTTTTTAAACATCACCATTTATGAGTTTGATGCCATTTAAAAGATATTCTTACATCCTAAAGTGAATAATCTCACACTTCTCCATGTTATACTCTGTCATCTTGTCACACACTTTTAACTTGCCAAAATTGCTTGCAGCCTGCCTTGGTCCTTCTCACAACTTACCTTCCCTTATTACTTTGTATTGTCCCAGACTTTGATGCATTATTCTGTGCCTCTTTGATTAAGTCATTAATCTTGATTGTAAATAGCTGCGGTCCCATCATTGATCCTTGAACACTCTGCTTGTCATAGCCTGCCAAGTTGACAATGCCCCACTTTTGCCCCTTTTTTTGTATGTTCTGCTGATGAAAGTAATCCTGTCTGGTCAGGAAATTCAGGGTCTAGAGCTGGATGAACACAGCAGGCCAAGCAGCATCATAGAAGCAGGAAGGCTGACGTTTCGGGCCTAGACCCTTCATCAGAAACAATTTTAACCCCACTGCGAAGCCTCTTCTAAGGATGCCTACCTTGAAGATGTTACCCTCCGGACAAACCTTAGGGGATCTCTCTCCCACTGCAACTCTCTCATAATCTCTTCGGCCTTGAAACTGCTCGACCATGTCCTGAAGCAAACCAGGTACTACAGCCACATCACCTTTCTCAGTACCTGCCTACGGAAC